CAAGGAGCATTCTGGCCAGGCTTCTTCCAAGACAGATTTGTTTGTTCTTTTGGCAGTGCTTTCGGTGTTCTTTGCCAGCACCGTAATTCAAATGCACCAAGTCTTCTTTGTCTTCCCTACTCAATGTCCAACTTTCACATACGTGTGAGGCGATGGAAAACACTGTGGCTTACGTTAGGCAAGCCTTAGTCCTTGGAGTACCATCCTTGCTTTTCAACACGTTAATAAGAGGTCTTGGGCCAGGCACCTGCACTCTCCGGTCGCCGCCCACCGCCACTGCTGCCGCCGCTCCCGCCAGCATGTCGGGCTCCGACGCCGAGACCCCGTCCGCTATCCAGATCTGCCGGTAAGCAGCGGACCCGCGTGACTCGGCGCGGGGCCGGGGGCTCCGAGTCAACGACCCTGGCCTGCTCCTGCCGCGCCTGCCACTCCTGAGCCCCCGCGGCCCCATCCCTGCCGGATCCTCCCCTCCTCAACCGGCCGCTCCCGGCCCTCACCCCTCCCCGCGCTGGGAGGGTGGGGCGCCTGCCGGCATCAGGTCTCCGAGCGGAGCCTGGCCCATCTGGCCCCTTCCCTGCGACCTTCACCCATGCGTTGGGGATGCGCCTTCCTGATGCTGCGGGAGCCGGCGGCCTGGCGGTGCGCGGCTCCCCGCGGCCCCCGCCGGTATCCGGAGGGCGGCGGCCCGGCGGCCGTGGCCACGCAGGTCACTTGGGCGAGCAGTCGGAACATCGCGACGCGACTGGACCCTTCCCGGTCGGTAGTGGAGGGATACATCCCCTCGGGCCTTCCTAGCTTCGCCCCGCCCTGATGCCCCTTGCGCTTCTGAGCCTCACCCCAGGGGGGATCCCGTTTGTTATCTAGGCGATGCTGTAGAGCCAACTAAATCCACTAAAAGGCAGAGGCAGGTCACCCGCCAGCCGGACGACCGCGCCTGGAGACGTCAGAGGCGTCCGGTTTTCCCTTTGTAGGTGTCTGGAGTGGAAGGGCCTGCAAATAATCCATTTCTGATCAGGGCCTCCCCCTTTCCCCCCCGTTATTTATGTATTTATTTTAAAGATGAAAGTGCTAAAAGGAAGGACAGATGTTAGATTCTTCTGCTCCGTGTGCTGCCAAGAAAAGGGGATGGCCCATTTGTGCCCGCGAGCAACTGACACAATAGGGGCAGACTGTGCATCCAGGGCTTGTCTTGTCCCCCCTACCGGGTGAGTGGATATATGCCCCCAGAGGAAGCTGGAGGTCACGAGCTAGCTCATTTCCCCCCCCAGAGGAAGTGGGGAGGACAGGCTCAAGGTTGCTGCGGAACTGGAAGCAGAGGCAGGCCTGGCTTTGGGGTGTGGAAGGAGGCTGGCCTTGCTTCATTTGTGTGCACCTGCCTGCCTGCCTAACGGTTACCTGTAGTGAAATGTGGGAAAGTGTTCACTACAGAGTAGTAAATAAGCGCAAGGAAGCCCATGCTTGCCTAGATTGTTTGGCAATCCGTGCCTGTGTGTGTGTGTGTGTGTGTGTGTGTGTGTGTGTGTGTGAAGGGCTACCCTCTGGAGAGCTGGTCTCTGTTTGGCACGTGGAGATCCGGGAGCGCGTGAGTCTGCTAGCTGGAATCATACCTGTCTGAGGCAGGTTCTTTGGATATTGACTACTCTTCAGAAGTGTGAACAGGGAGGGCCTAGGCAGACGGAGCAGATAACTGGTACTGCTTCCTGCCACACCCTGCCTGCTGGTCTGGCCCGGTACCTTTCCTGACAAGAAGGAAGGGCAGTTTTGACTTAGTTTCTGAGAGGAGATCTTTGAGGGAGCTGGGCTCTATTTGTGTTGTTATTGGTCATGTGGATGTGCTGGCCCCGCCCATTCCAGGGAACCCAGGCAGAGGTGATAGAAAAGACAGATATTGGGAGTTGAGTCCTTGCTTAGGGCTCTGCCATCTTGGCTGGTGACCGTGGGCGCCATCATTCAAAGAGTCACATGCATGTGGGCGCCATCATTCAAAGAGTCACATGCATTTCACCTCCGTTGGCTTGCCCATCTTCCCTGGGGTTCACCTCTTGGGCCATACTGGGGAGGAAGTGGAGACTGAGAAACTCACTAAGGATGCCTGGTTCCCGAGGCCTCGAGGGCCAGGTCACCTATCAGATCTTCAGATTCCGTGTCCAGCGTTCTTTTCCACCACTCTCCCTGCTTAAATATTTATCTTATCTGTGTAAGGCTGGACTTGTATTTACTTCATCAGGACGATGAACAGCTTGGTGGTGGATGAGTCAATCCAAACTCATGGTAACCTCATATGCGCAGAGTAGCACTACCCGGCGAAGAGTGTTCAGGATGGACCTTTTGGAAGCCTGGCTTGGGAAGCACCACTGGGTGGAACCACCACCCTTCAACTTGGGAGTTGCAGGTGAATCCACTGCCACAGCTTCCTCCTGAGGAGCAGCTGGTAGGTTTGAATTGCCTACCTTTCAGTTAGCAGGGGAGTACCACCGGGGCTCCTTTCCCTGTGGAATAAATCCCCCATACTGTCGGCCATAATGATCCTTGGTAGGACAGAGGAGAGGGTTTCTGAGACCGAAAATATTTACTGGAGCAAATAGCCTCGTCTTTCTCTCTCTGGGCAACCTCAGACTTGGCAGTTAGTAGCCCAGTGTGTAAGGCACTCTGTCCCAGGGCTCATTCTTCCCGGGAAGATGGTGTTGTTGGGTTTTTTCCAGTTGGCTCGGACTCCGCAATCTTACGCACAGCAGAAGGAAACGCCACCCGGCCCTGCGCCATCCTCACAATTGTTTTGCTCCAACCATTGCTGCAGTCGCAGTGTCCCTCCATCTCTTCCAGGGTCTTCCTCTTCCTCATGATGTCCTTCTCCAGGGACCCGTCTCTCCTGACATGTCCAGAGTATTGGAGATGAAGTCTTGTCATCCTTGCCTCTAAGTAGTACCCTGGCAGTCCTTGTTCCAAGACAGATGTGTTTGTTCTTCTGGTAGTCCATGGCACTTGTAATATTCTTTGTCAACACTGTGGTCCAAATGCATCAATTTTCCTTAGGTCTTTCTTAGTCAGTGTCCAGCTTTCACATGCAGTGAGGCATTGGAAAATACCATGGCTTGGGTCAGGGGCATGTTAGTCCTCAAAATAACATCCTTGCTTTTCAACATTTTATGGAGGGAGGTCTTCTGCAGATTTATCTAATGCAATGTGTTGTTTGATCTCGACTGTTGCTCCCATGAGCATTGATTGTGGATCAAAATAAAATCCCTGACATCTTCAATCTCTTCTACCAACAAGTAGCCTCTACATATTGTCCTTTTTTAAACCAGCTTCTCAGTGTTGATCTGAGAGGGCTTTGAAAAGTTCATGGAAACATTCCATTATCTTCTGATTCTATTTTTACCTTGTGGGCACTTTTGTTTGCCCTGTGGTGCCCCACTGTGGTTCCAAGCTGCCTCTTTTTTTTTTTTTTTTTTAAGAGCACAACTTACATATTTCAAATGGACAAAACATTAGTATCATGTACAGTGTCTTAAGATAACTTGCCCTTGAATGGGAGCTTCCTGTCCAGTACATTCAGGTCTATAAGACGTTATCTAAAAAATGTACTACAGGTACTGTGGAAAATGAAGACTGCTTAGTCGAATGGGGAGGGGAGGGCCTGTGGTTTTTCTTGGTGATTAATTGCTGTAACACTGTCTTTCGGGCGGCTGAGGGAGTTTCATATTTTCTTTAGACATCATTAGGGGCTGGACCTCTTGCAGGACAACTTTGATGCTGTAGGAATCCTGCCATTTTGCTAGCACTGATATGGCTCTTGGGTCCACCACTTCATTAGAACTATTAACTCCATTCATATTAATTTTTGTTACAAATCTTACAAAGGGGAGTGCTTCTGGGTATTTAAGTCCACATTCTATTTTAAGGCTGTATATCTGGTTTTTGTAAATTGTCCTAGCCCGTGGTGGCTGCCATCTTGTGTCGCTGTCGCTCCCCAGGCTGCCTCTTGTTGTCGTAGCTTCACAATTGTCTGCTGTTTCTCAGTGCCCGCCTGGACCAGGTGGCCTGCCTGCCAGGAAAGATGCCTGGTTGGGGTGAGTCTTGGGAGCAGAGCAAAATGAAAAAGGAGGGTGGGGTATTCTCTGAAGAGGGTTGGGTCTCATCGATTTGGCCCAAAGAAACCCCAGGACACTGGCAAGTGGACGCACAAGCTGGGAAACCCTTTAAAGACATTTGAGCTGACACCTGCATTGAAAGAAGAGCCTCCCTGCCCAGGACAGCCAAACCCATAAATTTAACAAGGCTTCACTGGACACTTCCTTCACGAAGCAACCAGGAAGGAAATCAGCCTGTGGAAAATTCAGGCAATCCAGCAGGGAGAGGCTGCTAACCTCTTTAACGCCCCTCCCACCCCACCCTCTGTGTTACCTGCTCACTGGCACTGACTGTGGGCTAGCACGTTTAAAAGCAGGGGTGGGGGTGGGGCTGGCGGGTGTTATGAGCCCAGCTCTGGAGTCTTAGGCCCGGATGTGAACTCTGCCACTGCTGCTGACTGTGTGACCTGAAAGCTGCTGCTTATTACCCTTTCTGTGCGTGCGTTCTCTCTTGGGCTGTTCTGAGGGTTAGCAGAAATAATGCCCGTCCAGCACTTGGCAGAATACTGACCCATTGAAAAGAAACCGTAGCCCTTTTTATCTGAAAAGTGGGACGTGAGCTCAGGAGACGTCTGCCTGTGTTTGATTTAGATCCCTGTCCTGCATTCTGGCAAGTTGCTAAGCCGTACTCTACCTGTTATCTGTAAGTTGGAAATAATAATAAAAATAGTGTCCATTTTCAAGTTATTGTGAGGGTTTAAACCTGACATGTGTGAAGAGGAGCTCGCTAGGGAAAAGAGGAAGACTCTTGATAAGATGGAGTGCCATAGTGACTGCCACATAACAACCTAACATAAAAACAGTTGAGGATGGTGCTGCTGGTCCAGTGTTTCTTTTTGTTGTACACAGCCTTGCTGTGAGTTGGAGCCAACTGGACGCCACTTAACAACAGGGAACTAGCTTACATTTGAGAACCCAAACTTTGAAATCCATGCCACTGGGGCGCTGCTTCCTCTTTCATTTTTCTCTCTACCTCCCCAAACCCACACTCCCTGCCGTCGGAGTCTGGGTGCTCATAGTGACCCCCTGTGGAATTCGAAGACAGTAACTGTTTTCAGGGTATAGAAAGCCCAATTTTTCTCTCGAGGAGCTGCTAGCAGTTTCAAACTGCCAACCATGTGGATCACAGCCCAATTTGTAACCACTACACCACCAGGGCTCCTGATCTCTACCCAAGAAAGGCAAATGCTGGGAGAACATTTCAAAAGAGCATTTTTCCTTTGGATGATTTTGAGTAGTGTTGGTGTTTAGTTAGTGAGTTTTCTTTCGTGCACTCAAGAGTTCTAAAACGTTCGGGCTGGAAGGACCCCTCTAAGCGCAGTTCTGTCATCTCACAGAGGAGAATGTGAGGCTCACTTAGACTAGTTGTCCCAGGTCAACCTCAACTTATCACCATGGTCATTTCCTACCAGATACTGTCTGGGGTCATGTTTCCCAGTGCTCGGTCCAGCTCAGCTTTGTGCTTGGTTGAGGGGCTTAAACATGACGCGCCTGTGTCCCGTCTCCCTTGGCCCCATAGAAACTCTTGTCAAGTGAAAGGTTCAGGGACCTCTTGGCTCACAGGTTGACTGTCAGAGAACATGACACTGTAGAGTGGTAGTGCCCACTAGAACTTCCTACAGGGATGGGAATGCTCCTTTGCTGAACTGTCCAACATGGCAGCCACTAGCCATTAGTGACTCTTGAGTACTTGAAGTGAGGCTAGGCCATGGAATGCTGAAATTTGAATTCCACTTGCATGCTAATTATTGTAAACGTTAAAAAGCCACATGTTGCTAGTGGCTACTTTATGGGGCAGTGCAGTATTTAAAGGGATTTAAAAACGAGAATTTACTGATAGGCATTTGGGGGAGGATGCTCAGAGCTCCCTAGGGAGGCAGTCAGCTGTCGTCAGCCATTCTGGAGGGGATTTTGTTTTGGACACTGCCCGGGACGCGGGAGCCCTGAGTGCTTTGCTTTTCAGGTAGGTAGGTGAGTTTTTTGTTTGTTTCTGTCATGCTCTTAGTTGCAGATCTATTCGAACGTTCAGGAAATCAGGTTTGCTTTGTTTACAGCTGTACCAGGAAGACGTAGAAAGGTTCCTGGCATCCAGTAGATCCACCAGTCATCACGGAATTGACTGGATGGGGAGGCTACTGTGTTCCAGGGTTGGGATCCTTTCCCCTTGGAGACCTCTCTGTAGTTGTGCAGTGGAGTTAATGAACACATGTTCCTGTATGCCGGGAAGTCAGTAGAGAAGAGACCCTGGATGACAAGGTTAAAACTGCCTCATCCCTGCCACCTATTCCAACTCATAGTGACCCTACAGGACAGAGTAGAACGGCTTCTGTGGGTTTCTGAGACGAAATCTTGACAGGAGTAGAAGACCTCAGCTTTCTTCCTTGGAGCAGCTGGTGGTGTTGAACTGCTGCCTTTCTGGTTGGCAACCCAACTTGTAATCCGCTGTGCTAGCGGAGCCCCTGCCTGTTTCCTGAGCTGTGATCGTTAGGGGAATAGATCCCCACGCTTTCTTTTCTCCCATGGAGCCAGCCACTGGGGGTGGGGAGTGGGGGTTTCACGCCACAGCCTTTGAGTTGGCAGCTGAGTGCTTAACCTCTATGCTACTGGGGCTCGTAAACCTAGAATCTGATTTATAGCACCCACACTCTGAGCTAGTATTCGGGAACCTTCCATAAAATGAGGCCCAGTACTAGCTAGCTCCCTTCCTTTGGGATGGAGGGGCCCTTTGTCGCCCAGAAGAGCCTGTGGTAGGTAAGGCCTACCTTCAGCTATTCCTGTAAGTGGGACAGGCAGCCTGGCAACGCCCTTGACCTGGCACCTGCAACTGACAGGCTCCTTGGTGTCGATCAGGCCAGAAGTGGCTTTGTCCCCAGGGATCCATGGCCTGCGGTCAGCTGATTCTGGGGGCCGGACTTCTGGCCAGAGTGACTGCACCTCTCCCTGAGCTAACTGTTGTCTGCCCCTGCCTAGCTGGTGGCTTTTTCACTCTCCGAGATGTCCTGGGACACAGATGGGTGCCTCCCCTGCATCACATCCCTGGACTACCTGCCTCTGTCTGTGAGGGAGCTTGCTTAAAATACGGATTTCCTGCATATTTAGTAGAATGTCACTAATAAAGTGCACATTTTAAAAAACATGAGATAATCAGGAACACTTGGACAGTCCCTTGATAGTTCCTTGATAGGATGTTATTAAGGGGTACTGGGTTTTTAATTATTGTGATAAAAAGTACATATGTAAAAAAACTGGACAATTTTGTCCAGGTACTATTTCTCTCGTGACATTGATCACATGCATTGTGTAGTCCCACCCTCCCCACCTTTCTTTTCCAGGTGATTCCACACCCCAACAGAAACCCCATGCCCCTTAGCCAGGACTTCCCCTTTCCCCCTCCTGTCTTTGGAAGCCACTAATAAGCTTCAGTCTTTATAAACCTTTGCCTGTCTCGTATCATTGGGGGGGTTCAGACAATGTCTGTCTTTCTGTGACTGACTCATTTCAATCAGCTTGTCCTTTTCAAGGTGCCGGCTGTTTGTAGCACACACCACTAGTAGTCCTCGGAATGCACCACTTTTTGCTTCTCCATTCATCTTCTGAACACTGAAGTAGGGGCTTCTGTCTGCATTCACACCTTCACTTTGTAAGACTGGGTCATGTGGCAGTTTCCTGTTCCACATTTTGAGAAGCCTCTACAACCGCAGTGGTACCATTTTACAGTCCCACTAGCAGTGGATGAGGGTTCCATGAAGTGGAAACTCCTTTTCAAAGTGACTTTATCGATGCATTGTGCACATGACAGGAAAATGCACCTATTTTCTGTGGGCTTTCATTTTGATTCCTGGTCCCTGTGTGACAGAGTAGAACTGACCCCACAGGGTTTTCTTGGCTGTAATGTTTACAGAAGCAGATGGCCGGTCTCTCTCCTGCTGAGCCTCTGGATGGGGTCAAACCCTTCACTTTAGGGCTCCTTCCTCGAAGATGACAGACAGCTTTGGAAAACCCTGTGAAGCGATTCTGCTCTGTAACCTGCGGGGTTGCCACAGGTGGAACCCCCGTGGAACCCCCACCGCAGCGGTGGGTTAGGGTTTTTATATCTTCTCGGATGCCAAGCCCTCTCAAGTGTCTAAACTAACCCCGGGCATGGAGGCAGGAGAGCTGAGTGCTTTCCTCACTAAATAAATACAGCCTGCAGGCCTCCAGTCCACATGGCTGGGGAGGCAGGGCTCCTCTGCATCGCCCTCTTCTCTGCCTTGAAACTGGACAGCCACCACCTGGGGAGGAGCGGGAACCTACCTGGTCGGCTTCTTGTGTCATCCTTCCGTGGGGACACAGCCTCAGTTGGACCAGGACCTCTGCTAGTGGGCAGCCTTCCAGCATTCCCGCCCGCAGTCTGCTGGGCAGCCAGGCTCAGGACTTTACATCCTGGAGGAATGTGCCTCCTCCCTACCTGGAGGGGATGGCCCGGCCAGCGGGGAGTCTAGGCAGCAGGATCAGGAGAGGGTGGTGATCACCAGGATAGCCATTTCTGCCGCCCCCCAGACACACAGGCTGTGGCTCGGTCTCATTTGCTCGTCAGAAGCCCGGATGACTGGAGGACTGGCTGGAGGCGGGGCTCTTGGCATCCCCACGTCTCAGAGAAGTCTCCCAAAGGAGACTTCGGGACGCAGATCCCTGCTGGGCGACTGGAGGGCCTGGCGGAGGGGCGGGCCCAGTCTCCGCGCCCACGCCCCCTTGGGGGTGTGGCCTCGGGGCGGGGCAGGCTGGTCTGGGAGGCAGGGAATCACCTACAGCAGCCGCAAGCATGATGAAGCTGCTGGCCAGCGCTTTCCGCCTGGGTGAGCTGGCCCAGCTGACGGCCTGCAGGAGGTCGCTTACCGCCCGGGAATGTCTGGGGCCCCGGGGCTCCGAGGAGCTTGGGGAAAGAGGCCGGGCTTCCTTCCAGGCGCTGGGAACCAGGACTGGCCTTTTGTCAGCCCCACCCTGTGTCAGTGCGAGGTAAGACCGCGGGGCCACTTTCCCAGCGCAGCGAGGCGGGAGGACCGGCAGCTGCCCTGGGCCGCTGGGCCAGGAGGCGCTTTGGGATCTAACTGGTTCGGGGAGCGATGGTGGATGGGATTGAGTGTGCTCACTTTGGTGTGACCCCTTGGTGGAGAGACGTGGCATGTTTCCCCGCAGAGGAGTGGGCCGCGG